GGAAGTGTGCAAAAGTGAGGATGTTAAAAGTGAAGGAGTTTTAGAGTTGGAGCGTATTGGATCTCATTCTAACCATTTTTCAACATTGTGCTTGGTTGGTGACACGAGAATTAAACCATTTGAGCATCTGGAGGTGTCAATGGATGAGGAACAAAGTGTATATATTCTGAAATTTGTGACACCAAAAAGGCAAAACGACATTCCTCACTTAAAGGCCTAGAGGTGCAAGATGCGATACCTATTTCTTGGTTCCTTTATTTTCACACCACTGCCCCATGAACATGATAGAAAAATTGATGCAAAATTGGGGGCGCCATTTATGTCCTCAAAGTGGAAGGAAAAGTAGTGAAAGTGATGGTGTCGTGCCACGACTATAAATAAGGCGCTTGTTGGGAGGCAACCCAGTTATATATTTTTATTTTTTATTTTTGTTTATTTTTTTAGTGTGTTATCGTTGTAGTATTATTTTTGTGTTTTGTGGGAGTAGGAGCATGGAGTCAAAGCCAATAGGCGTGTACAAAAGCGAGCAGGTGGATGAAACTAAGTGTGAGGTACCCACAGAAGGGATCATACCTGGGAGAGTCTGAGTATCCCGCGAACTGCTAATGTTTCGGCTTTTGGCCTACCAGGGAGTCTCTTTTACCCTATTATTATTTGCAGTGTGCATTGAGGACATTGCATAATTTTAAGTATAAGGTGAGGAGATTATCTGGGTGATTTTCTGTACTATCTTAGCTTAGTTGTAGTACTCATTTTTAGTGTAGTAGTTTTTGTTAAAAATAGAAATTAAAAAAAATGAAAAAAGAATAAAAATCAGAAAATTAAGACTTTTCCTGATGATGGATTTTGTGGACAGCTTTCTTGAGGGACTAAGATCCAATAAAATAAAAAAATTCAAAAATATTTTATTTTGTTCTAGTTAGTTTTAGTTAGGTAATAATTCCCCTTGATTTTTCTTTGTGCATTGGTTCTTTTCCAGGGGATGTAACTTGAACCGGGTAATTTTTTATTTTTTTTATTTTTAGGATTAGAAAAAGAGAGAGATGAAAAACATTTATGATTTGTTTGATACTAGCATATTTAAGCCTAAGCTTGAGTAGTACTTTCCTCTGTGTGCTCGAGTAATAAATAAAATAGCAGACTTTCTGACACCTAAGCTCATAGTTGTGACTGTGTATATAGCTTATTCTTATTTTGTCGTTCGCTATGACCTTGTCTGTCTTAGAGTGGAATTGATCCATCTTGATTGATACTTGTGCCATGTGGTGAGGATTTCTTACATATATTTCATGTTTTGCATCTTAGTCTAGAACTTGTCTGGCATGTTATTGAAGCGAAATAAAAGTGTTGCTCTGGTTAGAAGGTGATAGTAGGCTTTCTTTGATATGTCTTGTGAATTTTAGCTTTTTCAGATATTGTACCACTAGTTAGCCCTTTGTGCCTGTAGCCTTTTGTTTGGAAGCCGTATTTTTGCCTTGATCCTTTTATTGAATCCCTAGTTTTTGCACCCTGCTTCCTTAAGCACTGTTGCTTAGACCGTGATATTAATTAATAAATTTGAAGAAAGGGATGGTTAAGTAAAAAATAGTGACCAAGGATAGCTGAAAAGTGATGAAAAGGCCCTCTTGAAAAAATGTGACATGAAGAAAAAAATAAAATAAAAAAGAGAATGAAGCGAATTGGTTTGAAAAATATATGAAACATTCTTGATATGAGGGAAATACTTGTGAAATAATAGATCAAGAGAGGGCTGAAAAATAAAAGTGAAGAGTAGAAAATAATGGGTGATGAAGTCTAAAAGTGCAAAGTGCTTAGGAAAGTGTAAGTCACTATTATATAATTCTCCTACCCGTTCCTTAGCCAATATTACAACCCGTTAAAGTCCTATTTGATTCTATTCGAGCATACATAATTAGTAGAGATATACATAATGGGAAAGCCTATGGTTCTTTATGCATGCATGTGAATTTCTTTGTGAGTGCGAGAGTTGTTCTTTGATGCTAAGTCCTTAAATTATATACATTCTTTGATTTGAGAGTATGGACTATTTATTCTTGTGAGGGCACTTGTTTCATGATATATAAGTGATGTTATTAGCTTCTTTGACAGAGCAGGTGAGCGGGCTTAAATTTGGTAAGAGTCCGTCTCAGAGGTTAGGGGGTTAGAAGTTTGTTGTTTGTTTGTGATTTGTATATCTTGCACGATAATTAGGAAGTGTATATCTGATGGTTTGAGTTGCTATAGGGACTAATGGTTAGTATCAACCGAAGTGGTGGTATTTCTAGGTTTGGTTTATTGAGAGTGGTTTTAATGCTTACTCGAGGACGATCAAGGGTTTAAGTGTGAGATTGTGATACTAGGCCAAAAATGCATATATTTAATTATTGTTGCATCACTTTCTAATACTTTTAATTGTCTTTTAAGTGTTAATTATATTATTTTGCGCTTAATATTATATTTCAACTGTGTAGGAATAAATCAATGCGAAGATAAAAAGATTTGGAGAAAAACTAAATAAAACGCGAAAAAAGAAAGAAAATTAAAAAAAATATAAAAGGGGGACACCCTTTGGATTTTGTTCCCCCAAGTGGAGACAACAAAACAAGAAAGATATATAATGCAGTTACATTCTAAATGAAATGGATGAAAGTAACGTGAAGGAATTAAACGTAAAACTCACTGTTTTCAGCGCCAGGACCAACGCTCGCTGGCCTGGACGCTGGCTACGAATTTTTTCCTTCTTCATTCGGAACAAGGTTATTTCGGCCCAATACTCCTCCAACTCATATAAAAGGAGTTCTAAACCTATTTTGTAAGGGATCTAATATACTTTGAAAGAGAATTCACGTGGAGGAACACACACCACACTGAGAGGAAGCTTTTAACTAGTTTTCTTCTCTTCTCTTCCTTTAATTTCATAGTTCATTAGTTTTAGAGAGTTTTAGGTGCTACGTGAACATTGTAGTTTGAAGCTTGAATTTTTCTTATTATTTTATCATATTGGTTTATTTGTTCAATCTTGCACTTAATTATTTGATTGCTTGATCACCAATTGAATATAATCTACGAATCTAGGATTGAACTCGGGAGTGAGAATTCTAGATTACATATAAAATTGAGTAGAACAAGATCTTAACTCTGTGGGGGAGGGAGAAAGGAGGCGGATTTGCGGTTAGGATAGGAATATACCTAATCGTCTTGCTTGCTTATTATACAAGAATTACAAATGCATTTTTGTTAATCCTAATTCCATAGGAATACAAGCATTAGGATAGCTTGAATAGGTGAGTTGTACTTCGGGAGAAGGCTACGAATAATATTAACCCCGTCAATCAATAAACTAGATAAATTAATTAGACAATTTAGGTAGAAAACTCAACGGGATTATTAGCTAACCCATAGCTCTAGAATATTCACTCACGTTGAATTCGTCTCTATAATTCTCCAACTTGTTTTCTTTAATCTCTTAATTTGTTACCCGAGATTAATTTTAGTTAAATATTCATACGTTAGGATTCACTTGAATAGATTAATTGTTTTGGTTTAATTTAGTTGATAGTTAATCACAAGTCCCTGTGGGTACGATATCTAGACAATCTTATATTACTTGTCGACCACGTATACTTGCGTGTGCGTTTGGGAGCAACAAGCAACTTGGATTTTTAATGCAATTGAAGGATACAACCATAGTTTTTCTGAAACAGTTCCTTTATATGGTTAAAACTCAATTTGGTACCTCAGTCAAGATAATCAGAACATAAAATGGTTCAGAGTTCTTTAATAATCAATGGAATGAAGTTTTGCAGGTCGGTGGTGTGATCCATCAAAGTAGTTGTGTCTACAATCCACAATAAAATGTTGTGAGAGAAAGTATATGCATATTTTAAACATTTCTCGGGCATTGAACTTTCAGGCACATATTCGTCACAAATTCCGGGGTAAGTGTGTGCAAACTGTTGTTTATATTCTTAATAGGATACCATCCAGGATTTTGGGAAGCAAGAGTTCGTTCAAGTTGTTGTATGGTAGACAACCATCACTGGTATGAATGTTTGATTGCTTGTGCTTTACCATAAATGTGTTAAAAGAAAGACAAATTTGCAGCAAGAGCAAGGAAAGTTGTGCTCATGGGGTATTCCACAACTCAAAAAGGCTACAGGTTATACGATCTCACTACTAAAATATTCTTTGTTAGCATGGATGTCATTTTTTGGGAGTCAGAATGTCCATTCATGCAGCCACAACATGACAATCCACCTACATCAGCCGAGGGCTAATCCACAGACTTTCTAACTATCCTCATGAAAGAACCTACTCCAGTTGTTAGAGGTCCCTTTTTCTGAGTATACTGAACATACATTACCTCTTTTGGAGGTAGAACCTGAAAGAATAGCAGTAGAACTAGGTTCCAACAAGGAAACAATTTAGGATGTAGTAGCTACTGAGGGATAAGAAACCTCAGCTACGTTGCCTATACCAAATAAGCAGTAGAGTCTACATCAGGGATGACCTGGCTGAGCTACTATCTATCCCAACTCACAGACAGTCTACCTGGACAAAAAATCCACTTTTTTGGATGGAGGATTACATTGTAAAGGGACATAATCCTCACATTGCGCCTATCCTATATCCAACTACTTATCATTGGCATTCTCACTCCTTAGAGAACAATAAATTTTTAGAGAGGCAACCCAAGATCCTAAGTGGATAGAAGCTATGCAACAAGAAATCTATGCCCTGAAGGAAAACCAAACATGGGAAGTGGTAGACCTACCCCTAAGGAAGAAATCTATTGGTTCCGAATGAGTTACAAGATCAAATACAAGGCTAATAGATAAGTTGAGAGGTTCAAAGCTCGATTAGTGGCCAAGGAATACAACCAACAAAAGGGCATGGACTACAATGAAATATTCTCTCCGGTGGCCAAGATGGTCACTGTGAGATCAGTCATTGCTTAGCTACTTCTAGAGATTGGGGTTTATACCAAATAGGTGTATTCAATGCATTCTTACAGGGAGACTTGTCATAAGAAGTTTACATGGCCTTACCATAAGGTTTCCAAAGACAGGGAGAGCAGAAGGTTGTAGGTTATTGAAATCTATATATGGCCTTAAATAGGCATCAAGGCAGTGGAATTTATAGCTTATAAAAGCTTTATTGAAGGCTGGGTTCAGTCAAAGTGTATTTGATTATTCCTTGTTCACTAAGAAGTCTGGGGTTCACATTGTTGAGATTTTAATCTATGTAGATAATCTGCTTCTTACTAGTAGTAGTAAGGTTCTTATTGATGAGGCAGAAATTGTTTTGCATCAGGAGTTCAAAGTAAAAGACTTGGGAGAGTTAAGATACTTTCTTGGAATTGAAGTTATAAGATCTAAGCATGGTATTCTCCTTAACCACAAGAAATACACACTTGAGCTCATTTTTGAAATGGGTATTAGTGTAGCCAAGCCAGCTGTCACACCTCTTGAGGTTAATCAGAGGTTGGCTTCTGTAGAATTTGACAAAATTGCAGGTCTTCAAAGTTCAGATCCCTTGGTGGATGTCACTAGTTACCAAAAACTAATTGGGAAATTGTTGTATCTTACACTGACAAGACCTGATATTTGTTATGCAGTACAAAGCCTCAGTTAGTTCATGCATGCTCCTAAGAAGTCTCACATGGATGCAACTACCAGAGTTGTCAGGTATCTTAAAAATGCACCTAGACTTGGTGTTCTGCTGAAAAGGGAATCTGCACAGTCCGTACTTGGGTTCTGTGATTCAGATTGGGGTGCTTGCCCTATTATTAGAAGGTCAGTTAGTGGTTATTTGATCAAGTTTAGAAGTCCAAAAAATAGCATACTGTTTCCAGAGGTAGTGCAGAGGCTAAGTGCAGGAGTATGGCCTCAGTAGTCGCAGAAATCACTTGGTTGCTAGGCTTCTTTACTGAGCTTGGAGTTACCATTCATCAGCCAGTTGTCTTGTGTTGTGACAATAAAGTTGCGATGCAGATTATTGCGAATCCCATTTTCCATGAACGGGGCAAACATATTGGACTCAATTTCCACTTCATTCATGAGAAGATTAAGCAAGGGATACTGGTTACTTAGTATGTGCATACTACACACCAACATGCAGACTTACTTACAAAAGGGTTGACTATTGTGCAACACAATTTCTGTTGGGCAAGTAGGGTGTGCTGAATATCCTTCACGCTCCAGCTTGAGGGTGGTATTGTAATATTGTAGTTAGTAGCTAATTAGTTGAGGAGTTTATTCATACACAGTAAAAGTTAGAGGACCTTCTTATTATTTAGGAAGTTATGTCAGTTGTATATATAAATAGTGTATAGTCGGTTTATCAGTTATGTGAGAATATCATTTTCCAGCAGAGCTTCTTCTCGATTCTTCTTCTCCAAGTCTCTCTCGAGATATTGTGACAACAATCCATTCACCCTTAATTTTACCACCATTGAAAACCTATTTTTTTTCATTTTCATCTCCACACTTCAACTATTGTTTACCGGATCTCACAAATATTAATACTCAAAATCAATTTTTTTCAACTCAAACTTTGACCCAAATTTCGCAACAAATAGTGTGATATTGTCTAAGCTGTTAAACTATGTGTGAGCTGTGTGCACTAGGTATGAACTTTGGATCTCATGTCAACAACTTCCTTATTTCCGTTGTCCCATCTTCTTCGATGCTATCTGTACAAAAAATAATCTACACGATTCCAACTGCTGATTGTAGGCATTCGATTTTCTTCTGTTCTAGTATTGTCATCTATTTAAGTTTACCTGAGATAAAATTAAGTTATTTGAGCCATCCATGAATGAATTTTACTTTGGAACGGATTATGCTATGATTATTTACATTATTTCATAAATGGGTGTTTGAATGGAATTGTTGATATAGTGGTGAGTTAGGCAGTACACTTTGGTGATAGATTGGTAGGGTAAAACTGTAGTAGTGGATTATGGTGATGCTCATAGGACTTCACCACGTTTATTTGTTTGAAATTTTGGAAGTGACTCCCAACTATTTGTTGAAATGTACACACCAATTAATTTTGATATAATAATGATGATGGGTTTGTGGATTTACATAGAAGAGGTGCTGGTTGATGAAGATTGTGGTGGTGGTGGTGGCGGCGGCTAGGTGATTGAGGAGGAGGTGTTGGAGGAAGAAGTGGGAAGGGGATAAAATAGGGTTGACACAGTGAGGTGGCATGGTACATGACATCCACCTCAACAAAATGTCATACCACGTAGAATGGTATTATCCATGATGGAGGGTCCGAATGGTGGAGGGGTACTTTTTATCCAATTCTATAACGTTAGGGATAATAGTAGACAAATAGTATAACGAAAGGTATAAATATTTCTTTTTTGTATAATAGAGGGGTATTTTTGGCCCATTTCCATTTCTATTATGTAGATAACCTTCTCACTGCTCTTCGCTATTATCAAGTTACAACAAGAATTGCAGTTGATATGGTAGTGTTGGAGCTGAGTGGAGATTTGAGAAACCAAATGAGATTTTTTGGAAGTTTCTTGGTGGTGATGTTCTGATGGAGAAGATGATGGCTTGCCACCAACCATAAAAATTTCTAGCAAGGTAGTCGTCTTCAAGCAAAATCAGAGTAACAGAAAAAAAAGAGAAGGTGAATTAATTTTTTTTTAATAAGTGAACAAGTTCAAAGAGAGTGAAAAACACACATTTTGCCATATCGGCAAAATGTGTTTAATTGGTACCCTTTTGAAAGAGTTTAGGTGTTCAATGGTACTAACTCAAGTTTAAGTGTCTCAATGAAAATGTCGAACAAGTTTAAGAGGTCACGTATGTATTTGGCCAAACTAATATATATATATATATATATATATATATATATATTGTTGTCAATTTGGTTCAGTGTCAGTTTATTTTTTTGATTACTGTCGCACCCCATTTTCTCGCGAAAGTTGGTTTCGATGTGTGACAACTCTTTAAATGGGTATTGAAAGAGAAGAGTCTCCACCTAATGATTTTAAGGTACGTTAAGACACCTATTTACAAATAACTCTGTTTGTCTAGTCAACGCCATTAAAGATTGGGTAAGAGCTCAAATTACCTCAAAGAGAAGGTGTTAGACACTCTTCGAGGTTCACAACTGAACTTTAGACTATGTAGATTATATAATTAAGCTAGGTGATCCAATAAATTGAAGGGGAAATTTAGAAGTTTTAGAGTCTTATTAGAACATATGAGAATCAATATAAGTCTTAATAACTACAAAGATACAAACTACGTCGATCTATGTTAAATAACTAAGTATGAATAACATGCACATAAACAAGGGAGGGGGGAGGATCCTAAGTTTTTTAGCCTAAAGGATCACCCCGTGCAACATAAATAATACTTCGCAACTCCCTTAAGGTAGGGGTTGCTCCTATTATTCAGCAGTCACAGACTATCATCTCTTGTTACCCTATTACTATGTTAAAGTTATTTACTTAAAGGCGTTCTCATTCATTTCTAAGTCGTATCCTATGTGTGCACCACATGTCCCATGCTTATGGTCCAGGAGACTTTGGACCTACTATTAGGTGGTTCTAGACTCAACTCAGGTGCTCAAAATGATAAAACTAGGCAACAATCAAAATAAATAGGACTACACATAAACAACACAAAAGGCTCAAGTTTACCTCCTCATACAAACTCTGATGCACATCGCCAGTTAGGAGGAAAATTATGACTTATACCAACTATATTCAGATTAGTTAAACGAACAACTATAGATAGGCTGGTTTGAAGTTAAGGCATGTTAAATTGTTCAAGACCTATAGGCATGGTTTCTATATGATTTGAACCACTCAGCAATTAGTGGAAATTCCTATAGGCGGGATTTCTTGGTGACCAGTTTTGACGAAGAGGCTATTTTAAGACATAGTTCTTATTAAAAAAATCCTATAGTCGTGCTTTCTAGGTGTGTAGTAGCATCCTATAGACATGATCTCTAAACAATTCACGTCTGGGCAGTGAAGTCGCTTGAGAACACAGGATTAGTAGCGATAATAAATACCCTATAGGCAGGATTTCTAACAATTAGACTTGATTTTATGACACTTTAATCCCTATAGGCATGCTATCCAAATGAGGCAGCAACATGAAGTAGTTGATTAATTATTAAGCCTTAGAGCCATGTTATCCAGATTAGAAAAAGTATTGCATTGTTGTATCCTATATGCATATTATTTAAGAGCGTTGAATAGCAGACGTGGAAACAAGTGTAGCATATTTTGACGAGTGAAGTGCAGTGTGTGCGTGATTCCTATAGGCATGCTTTCTATTAGTTTACAACAAAATTAAACTAAATAACATATAAGGCATGCTGAATGATATAGCAAATACACCACATAGACCCTATAGGCATGTTTTCTACCATTTTATGCAAGCATTAGAATATACTTATTTTCCCCAATTTCACTAGCACCCCAATTATTTGTAATTACAAGTTACAGGTACCAAAATAGAATAATACAAACTCAAAGGTGACAGAAATACAGACTTAGAAAATACAGGCCTTATCAAACAGTATAGGATCGCTACAAAATAACCCAGTGAATTTCTAGGCCTTCAGCAACCTCATCAACTAACATACCCAAATCTCAGGCTCACAAGGGTAGTAGAATCTTCCCAGGTCCAACAACACATATAGCCCAACACCAAGCCCAACGAATAACTTACTTGGCCAAATGGATGCCAAACTTAACCATACAGGTGACAAATTACTCATGGAATTGATTAACAACTTTTCACACTTAACTCCTAAAACTGTAACTAACAACAGTTCTAGCCAAAACACATACACAGGAATACATGAAATACAAACAAGTTCACAAGGCATATTCATGTTTGTATTTTCAGAAACAAAGCTAAAGTAACGAGATTGACCATCAAAAGATAATGAACTATTCCAAAAGAGTTTCAAAAGTAAACTGATTCAGAATTATCCTAAAAGAACTCTAGACACAAGATTTAAACATGAAAATCTAATAGAGTCGCAGATAAGAACAAGTAGAGCATAGCCTTTACATGAAAGTTTTAATATGAAAGCTTAGTGAAGACAACATAATAGGATAGATTCATGATCGAGTAATCACTTAGTTGAGAGTGAGAAAACTTTAACATGCTGAGTATCAATTTCAATACAAGAAAACTTATCGTAAACAAAAACATGTCAAATTCACATCAATAGGAAAGACAAGCATCAAAACTTATACTAGTTGGACACATATAGGCAAAAATGTTGGTTATGATATTTACTCTAAAGGTCTCAACTAATACTGACAAACACAAGATTAAGAAAGTTAAAAATACAATAGAGTTACAAATAGCATGGGAACAGGTCATAGCTTAACAGTAGAACTCTAGAAAGGTAACAGATTGGGCATGAATGTCACAATAGGGATTGGAAAAAATTCTAGGAGTGAGTTGGTTATTCGTAATAGTACAGGACAAAGCAAGAAACCAAAATCAGAATAAGCAACAGTAATAAGCATGCGAGCACATACATTAGCAGGTAGGCTTAAGAAGGCAGAATCAAGGTAATAAAATAGACAAGTTGAACTACTAGAAGGCATAACGCCTTAAGAAGAGCTTCAGAAC